CCACCCCCAGGAGGCTGGAGATCTGCCTGGCAGAGACATGGCAGGCAGGATCTAGCGCACTAGAAAAGACAAAACCACCATCACGCGGTCTGAGATCAAGAGACAGGAGAAACAGCCTGGCTCTGCCTAACCCCCTCCCTCCCTCCAGTCATTCACCTCCCATTGGCCAAACCCTGCCAGAAGCCAGTTGACGAGGGACACTGAGAAGTACAGCCTGCGTGGGTTAGCCCCCTTGGAGAGGAGCCAGACTGGCTTTAAGGGCAGGAAGACCCAGGACAAGGGGCAGAGCACCTGTCAGAAATCGCACCTCTCTTGTGAGCCACATGAGAAGCTGCAGGATAATGAAGCTGACCACCGCCGCAGTGATGGGAGCTGGCCCTTCTGTGTTTCATCGTTTGTCCAGGACCTATGAGGATACCACCTTTCTGCTAACTTACTATGTGTTGGCCAAGTCTAAGTTCACATGGATTGGGCTACTTCTTTATGTTTCAATTGACATCGACAACAACTACTTACTGAGCTTCTGCTTTGCATCAGACATCGTGCTAGGTCCAGGGGAAATAGAGCTCAAAAAGTGAGAGGACCTGTACATCAAGGCATTCTCGGTCAAGGGGAAACAGACAACAAATATCTGCCACATGGTAAGGGATAGGACATATGTTTGAACTTGGGGGGCTCTGATGAGGGTCACGCCCCCCCCATAGGTTGGAAATGCAGGGATAAGATTGTCTTATGAGTCTTTAATCTGCAAAATCAATGCAAATGGGTCAGAGCGGAGATAAGCAAAGATAAATGAAAGATAGGTAATAAGCCCTAAGACTCCACCCAGCTCTGAAATCCTGGGACTCTGCGCTCTACACACACACCAGAATGCCACCTTATAGTGTACGTACTGTATACCACGCACGCGGCCAGGTCTTTCCATGCAAAATCTCCTTTACCGGACCCCTGACTCTCTGAAGTTCACTCCATAAATGCTTGAACTTCATAAACAAAAATTTTACAAATGGAGAATGATGCGAGATTTTCTTTGTCCTGCTCGGGGTCATAGAGCTAAGAAGTTGCAGAGCAGGCATTAGAAACCCCGCCTCCAGATCCTCATTTCTGCTCTGAGACACTAACTACCCCAGACACAGCAGTGTGTTCGACCGTTGCAAAAATAAAACTTGGCTAAAGGAAGACCCCCTTAATTTCCACTTAGTTGACTGCTTCCCACACTGAGTGCCAACTCCTATTTTTAAAAAAAATTAAGTACATGTAATATTTGGTTATTATTTTTCACATTCAAACAGCTGACTGGGTCAATAAGAGAGGGTGGTGGTTTTCTATCCTTATCATTTTGTTCTTTTTTAATACAAAACTTTTGCAAGGTATGTTGCTTTTTAAATGTTCTGCACCAGATGGGAGCTCATTCTTGGCTTTTCCACAACAGTGTTCTCTAAGATGAGACAGAGACTCTTCACCTCTGTCTTCTGTCCCCTGTCATCTAAATGTGGAGCTTGTGGAGCGGCCGGCTCCTTGAAGACAAATGGGAACAGCCTGGGAGCAGGCTTTAAAGTGATGAGGACAATGGGTTTTGACTCCATTGGGTTTCTCTGGGAAATCGCTAAACCTCCCATAGGTTTTTAAGTGCTTATTTCAATTTGAGTATGCTTCTGCCTTGTATAGTCTTACCATTTCTCTGACCCTAAAAAAATGTCCCTACAGTAAACACAGAACAGGTGAAGTCAACTATTATAAGGTGTCCATGAGTAAAATGAAACAAAACAATAGCTCATCAAGATCTGCTATTTAAGAAGAAAGAAATCCCAGCCTTGATTCTTCCTGTGTATTCCTGCAGCTGGCTCTAAAATTTGAGGAAGTTATTTTATTCCCAGTGGAACAAGAGACTGGAGTGTTTATGCCTTTCAGCTACTCATCGTAAAAGAAGGAAGACTTCAGGAGTGAGTGGACAGAGAGAGCTGGGGTTGGTTCCAATGGCCATCATCGTTGGCATTCCTGGAAAGGAGCTATTTGATGGCTCTGCTCATGGCTTTCAGGATTCTCTTTGTGCCATGGAGTGGGAGGTAATTGTCTGTTCGACATTTTCCAAACGCTAGCTGAACTGGACGGCTGGCGAGGAACCGTGTGCTTGGGGCAGGCTGTCATTCGGTAATCACTGACTAAGGGCCGTACTAAATGCTTTGCGGGGGGACCTGCATTTCATCTTTAAACCAACACCATGAGGAAAATACAGTTATGATTTTTTTTTTAAAGATTTTATTTATTCATTTGAGACACAGAGATACAGAGAGCGAGAGCATGAGCAGGGAGAGAGGCAGAGGGAGAAGGAGAAGCAGGTTCCCTGCTGAGCCAGGAGCCAGATGTGGGGCTCGATCCCAGGACCCTGGGATCACGACCCAAGCCGAAGGCAGATGCTCAACCATCTGAGCCATCCAGGCGCCCCTACAGTTATGATTGATAGATGCAGAAGTTCAGATGATGGTGATACTTCCAATCTTTTTCCCATCACAGCACCTCCAGGGCTGAGAGGACAAATCTCATGACACATGTGTATGCCATCGGCAGTGTGCTGGAGGGAAGGCTCAAATTTGGACAGGGTGAAAGTATCCTGCAGGGTTAAGAAAGTGGCTGAGCTGAAATTTAAACCCAAGGCCATGACTCTGAAACCTGTGCTCTTCATCACTGATTTATACTGCGGTGTACCATCGAATTATTCGTGTGGTGTTGTAAAATTCTCACAAACATCTCCAAGGGGTGAATTATATGTCTTTATTTGAAGGCTGAATATAGCTGAGCCCCTTATGGTGCTGGTGTTGGGACACAGGCTAAACCCTCACTTGACTATTGGACTGTACTTCCAATCATCGGTGCTTTTTAGAGTCACCGTTTGACTAATGCTTTCATGGAAATCCTGTCATCTCACCAGCTACACTGTAAAAAGATTCTATTCTACGTACACTCTGAGTGGGAGGGTGTTGGAAGTCGGAATTGCAAAGTCAAGCAAACAGTAGAGCTATTACTACAGTAGGAAGAGTGGGAGTCCCTGTTTCTGGTGAATTTAATATATCTGACTGCAATCTGGGAAAGCAAGTACAGTCCTTCGCAATTCTTCCTTTTTATACTCTTCAGTCCACTGAGAAGCTACTTAGGAGGATATTCCTTCCAAGACCAGCTAGTCAGTGTCCAGCCTCCCCGGTGTGACCCTCTCTGTCCACAGGATACAGACGCAAAAAGGGAGCAGGGCTTGCTCATCTGTGTGTGGCTTGTTCATCGGGTCCTCCCTGCTCCACGTTCACTTTATTGGAAGCCTGTTTGGGTGTGAGAATTAAAGATTGCATGTGCTGTGTTCCTCTCCCCGGAGACAAAACCTCTCCCTGGGCTTTTCTTCCTCAAAGTCATGTGTTTCACCGCGTGAGTGTTTATTGCTTATTTGCCTAGAATGTTCAATTCAACGTCCACCAAGAAAAGAGGACAAGTGCCTAAATATACTAAATATACCAGAACTATACACAAGTTTTAATCCTCAGTAAGCTCTTCCCTGTCTCAGTGGTATTTACTCTCGGTTAAGCCCTGAAGGAACCGAGAGGTGTGTCTCTATTACCAAGACCCGGGGGGAGGGAGAGTCGCGCCGTGGCTGGGAGCTGGCATGGCAGCTGAGCTAAGCCTTGTTCCGGGAACCCAGAAACTGAAGGTGGCCTTTCATGAAGCAGATCCCCCACAGAAGACGGCAAATGAACATGAACCTGCACACCACACACCCAAGTTTTCAACTTTCTGTGATGTTTATTGAACACTTTGTTAATCTGTGCCTTACAAAACCAGCTCACTACTGACGCAGCAGAGACAGTTGTCATTTACCCCTAAATGCCTTCCCATTTGCCTTGTAAGCAATGACTTTTTCAGACAAGACCTTGTTTTTTCACTGTTAAAAATGAGAGTCTCTGAGGAAAAAAGTAGATATTAGATCTTTAGTATATGTGCTGCCGAAGTGAGCACAATAGATATTAGATCTTTAGATAGCACCACTCACCTCACGAGACCTGGGCCAGGAACCTCAGCAAAGGGGGAAATTGTGCTAAATGTGTTTAGAGGAATAAAACCAAGAAATAAAGCTTGGGTACACTATACCATTCATTTTGTAAGAAAGTTCTACTGTATTGCTAAAGCTGAGAAAATACTTCCAAATCACATGACTGCAGTCAACATCCAGACCTAGAGCAAAACTACTAAGCAGTAGGATTTGTGCCATAACAAAGATTTTCAAAAGAAAGAAAATTATGTAAACCTCCCCTCCTCCCTCCCTCCAAGCTAGACGGAGAGGTAATTAAAAAAAAGAAAAGAAAAAGAAAGAAAGAAAATCTTTGCTGGGCTGGAAGAAAAGCAAGAAAGAGAGTAAGTCCTTGGTCAGAGTGGCCGACAGAAAGTAGGGGTGATAGAGACCCTCAGATGGCTTTGAGGATCTTGGAGCACGTGACTCATGACTCCACGCCCCACCAAGAATCCTGCAAGGAAATATTCTCACGGAGAGCCAATGCCAACACAAGGGGCTATAGTAGAGCAGGACAAGTTGAGCCAAGAGACAATCTAAGATAAACCCACCACCACCAAGTCCATGCTTCCTGTCATGTCAGAGCAAGACAGAAGAGCAGCCAAAACTTTCCCATGGCTTCCCTCACACCCTCCCCCCATGAGACTGGGCAAGAGCGGCTGAGAGAAAGCCAGTGGACTGGGAATGCTCTTATCACTGTGTGTGTCGAGAAGCCAAAGGGCGGGGGCAGACTATGGACGTCGGCAGTGGATGGCAGTGAAGACAGATGCCAACAGCCACAAGGAGGACTTGGCAGTTAGCTGCCCACTCTTTAAATGTCCAGATCATATGTGACAATGCCAGGAACCAAGATCGTCTTATCCTTAGGGGGAAGGTTAAGAAAATAAAAAAAGAGTGGGAGGAGGAGAAGAATCTTGAAGTAAGAATTTACTCAAGAAGGACTGGGTTTCCCAAGACTAGAGTCGCATCCTGACATAGTTCTTGTCCTGCTGTGCTGGAGTTCTCGGAGAGAATTTGCTGGTCTTTTTTTTTTTTTTTTTTAAGATTTTATTTATTTGAGAGAGAGACAGAGAGGGCATGAATGGGGGAAGAAGCAGAGGGAGAGGGAGAAGCAGACACCCTGCTGAGCAGGGAGCCCAACACAGGGCTCGATCCCAGGACCTTGAGATCATGACCTGAGCCGAAGGCAGATGCTTAACCGACTGAGCCACCCAGGTGCCCCGAGAATCTGCTGGTCTTGATTGACTGGCAAGGGCAGGCAGCACCCCCAGGAGTGGCCACGACAGAAACATGCTCCCACTGGCTCTTAGATGGAGTAGCTTGGCAGACATCATCCCTCATACCCATCAGGGAGCTGGTACCTGCCACGGTGTGTTATAAACCCTTTCCCTGTTCTTCTAGGACTACTATGAAGCTCTGGGGAAGGAAAACCTCCCAAAGCAGACAATCGTGGTAAAGGTCAAATTCTTCAGCAGAAGAGCTAAAGAGAAGATTAAGGGTAAAAGGGGGGTAGGGTGGGAACAGGGGGCTGTGTCCTGGTGTTTTGAAGTCACATGGAGGAAGGGCCATTAAATGCTAACCAGTGCTTTTCAAAAAAAGGACTGGGTTTTACATGAGAAGTAATTGAATTTCCTTTGAATTAGAAAGATTTCGTTTTCTATTATCAAGAAGAAACTGGGGCTCATGAGTTAATTTAATTCAATTATGGAGAAATAAAATTACTTCTTAGCTCACTTGAGATTGACAACAGCAAAAAATTTACTCCCTTGACACATTTTAGTGTAAATACACTGTTACTGTTTCAATTGTATCTCAAGTTTCAGAATGAGAGGCTTGAGGCCCTCTTAAAGGAGTTTTACCCCTCAGTGCAGGAATTAGAAGGAGCTTTTTTTAGGAGATGTAGTGAGGAGGGGGTGAGCATTGGGGTTGTCGCCCAGGATCCACGGCCCCCTTCCTTCAGCGAAGCAGCCTTGGTGACCTCACCCCCTCTCCTGTTGGGAAAGCCCAGCCTCGGCCAATCGGCACATGACCTTCCCCCGAGGGGGTTCGTCATGGGTGAGCAGCCACCACCGAGGACAGGCCTCCTCTCTCCCGAGATGAACACCGACACACGGCACCAGGCTTAGTTTGAAATGGACACCACAGAAGGTAAAGAAAAGATGTCTGGCAAAGCGCTAAATCAAATCCACCCTGAGACCCCTGCTTCTGAACTTTCCAGGACTGAGTCCCTCGGTCACTTACTGCTGAACCCCGTGTGAGTTGGGCTTTGTGTTATGTGCAACCGAAAGAACCTGAAATGTCATGGTTCGAGAAAGGGACTTTCTCAGCCGCTAAATCTCAATGTCTGAGTAAAGTAGGGCCTCACAGTCGTTACCTCATACTTTAATGCCTTTTTTTTTCCTACAAGGGTATTCAATGAGAAAAACCCACAAAGAAGTAAAACCGAATTCTATGGAGTGAAAAACCCAGGGTATCCTTTTTCCCCCCCATATTTCACATTTATCTTCCCTTCAACCTGTGACATCATTCTCCTGGTGACCTGTGCACGATGGATCTCTCTTTCTTTTCCTTCCTCCCTCTTCTTTCCTGCCTTAAAGACAGGAGGGGAGGGGCACCTGGGTGACTCAGTCGTTAAGCGTCTGCCTTCGGCTCAGGTCATGGTCCCAGGGTCCTGGGATCGAGCCCCACATCAGACTCCCTGCTCAGTGGGAAGCCTGCTTCTCCCTCTCCCACACCCCCTGCTTGTGCTCTCTCTCTCTCTCTCTCTCTCTCTCTCTCTCGCTGCGTCTCTGTCAAATAAATAAAATCTTTAAAAAAAAAAAAAAAGACAGGAGGGGAGGACGAGGGGCAGGAGCAAGAGAGAGAAGACAGGCAGGCTGGCAGGCAACCTGCTTCTGATTGGGTGGAAGGAACATTCCTTCTTAGCTCTTACATAAAACTACGAATGTGTGCTCCCATTGTTCAACGAGAGAACAATCCATTCCACAAATTCCACTGACAGCTCATGAGCAGGTGATGCAAGCAGTGGGACACAATGCATGGGGATTGTTTGCTCTGTCATGGCTCTCAAGCCTGGCTGCTACAGGATTCTTATATTTCACTCACTCAGTTTCTCTCTCACAAACCACTCCTAGGCTCTTAGGGTGACCTCCCAGGCCAGAGTTTAGAACAAGCCACTGGACAGGACACTTATCAAAGTGCAAACATTGACTTTACAATGTGGCAGGTAAAAATAACCTGCCCGAGCGAGACTCCAAGTGCGTCAGGGGAGGCCAGTGTCCTGGGTGGTATACAGTGTACCCAAGACTTCCTCCTGGAGGCCTTCTCTCCCACGTTCTTTTCTTTCCTTCCCGTGGCTGCAAACTGACCACGGTCAAAGGAGGCCGCTGTCTTTACGATGTTAGATTTTTAAGTTTCTGCCCTTTCTGATCTATTCTTTGCCTTTTGGGAAAACAGACAAATTCCAAATTGACTGCTGCATACAATAGCAGTGCAAAGGAGCCCGCTAGCATTGATTGGTTACTTCATTCATTCATTCATTCATTCATCTGGCATCCAGAGCATGCGAATCCAGGAAGAGAGGTACAATTCCCAAGGCTTGGTTTCAGCTCACAAAACCAATGATGAGGTTGGGAGGGAATCTGAGGCTAAAGTCCAGACTACTCCGGAGGTAACACGTGGGTATGGCTCAGGGCCTGGCCAGGGAAGAGCAGAGGATAGGGCAAAATATTTTCAGATGTGATGCAGGTGGGGAAATGCCCCTGCTAAATAATAATAATTGGATCCTTGCATCCATGCTGAAGCAAGGGTGAGTTTAGAGTCAACATCCTGCTAGTTAGAGCTAAATCACATTAGGTTCTGTGCTTGGAAGAGTGAGACTGAAAAACTCTACTGGAAGAACTCTCAAAACTCTACATTAAACAATCCAATTGGAAAATGAGCAAAAGACATGAAGAGACACTCAAACCAAGAGGATATATGGTGACACATGAAAAGGTGTTCAACAGGACTAACCATGAGAGGAATGCAAATTAAAACCACATTGAGATATCATTAAATACCTGTTAAAGTAACTAAAATAAAAAATAGTAATAATGACAAATGCTGGCAAACATATGGAGAAACTTGATCTCTCACACAATGATGGTAGGAACGTAAAATGCCACAGCCATTCTGGAAAAGTTTGGTAGCTGCTTTAAAAACTAAACATACATTTACCTATGACCCAGCAACTGCACTCCTGGGCATTTATCCCAGAGAAATGAAAACTTATGTTCCACATAAGTATACGACTGATCACAGCAGCTTTATTTGTAATAGCCCATAACTGGAAACAACAAAAATATCCCTCAGTAGGTGAGTGGTTAAACAACCTGTGGTATATCCATACCATGGAATACTACTCAACAATAAAAAGGAATAGTATTTATATAACATTACCAAAGTGACAAAATTAGAAATGGAAAACAGATTAGTGGTTGCCAGGGGTTAGGGACTGTGTAGGAATAACATGTGGGGGGATGAAATAGTCCTATATTTTGATTACACTGGTGATTACATGAATTTATATATGTGATAAAATGGCATGGAACTATACACATGCATTGTACCAATGTCAAATTCCTGGACTCGATATTGTACTACAATTATGTAAGATGTAACCATTCGGGGCAATTGGGTAAAGGATTCACCAGAACTCTTTCGTACCATTTTTTGCAACTTTCTGTGAATTTATTATTATTTTAAAAAAATTTTTCTGGGGGTGGGGCACCTGGATGGCTCAGTCAGTTAAGGGTCTCCCTTTGGCTCAGGTCATGATCCCGGAATCCCATGATCAGTCCTGCATCGCCCCCCTCCCCAACTCAGTGGTGAGTCTGCTTCTCCCTCTGACCCCCCCCCCAACTCTCATGCATTCTCTCTTTTACTCTCTCTCAAATAAATAAATAAAATCTTAAAAAAAATTTTTTTTGACCTTACCAAGAGTTTCTGGACCTAAGCCAGATGCTGTGACTTCTGTGGTTTGCGCTCTCCAGCATCCATTTAGCAGTGGTCTCCTGTTCACTGTACCCAAATTTCCTCAGTGGGACCCCCTCTTAGCCACTCTCTGCCCAGATAGTTCCAGTGAAAACACATGACCTGGGCCTAGGCGGTCAGCATATCATGTTCCCCTGAGCCAGTCTAGACTGGATTTTGCTGGAGCTGGAATGGAAATAATTGCTCTTTTGCACTGGACTCAGATCTGGAAGGATAGAGGTCTGGGAACCACATAAGGGGCCGGGAATGACACTGTTGCCAGGGAAACGTTAAGTGAGAAAAAGAGAAAGAAATTCCTTTCCGAGGAAATCGTGTGAGTTTTGCGTCCAGTCATGCCTACCTTCGGACTGTTCTGTTTGTGAGCCAACACATCTCATAAATCCCGGAACAGGCGGCCCTCTGCTGGTTACCATAACACCTGGATATTTAGCAGTTAATGTAATCCAGGGAGAGAAAACCGCCTACCCTTCCAGAAACAAAACTGCAAAGAGCTCTCAAGGTTGCCCACGAACCCATCTCCTTGGATCAGTGGTACTAATGGAAACCTGTTCTCTGGGACTCGTGGCCACAAATCCACTGCATCTACCCTCCTAAGAGTTGATGCTGAAACCTAACACCTGCCATGGGGGGCGTGACGGGTAGGGCAGGAAGGAGTCACGTTTCATTAAATAAGGAGGAATACTGATCCTCTGAGCAGATAATATTTAGGACCCTGTCTCTCCCTCCAACTCCACATGTCATTCTGATTTTTCATTTTCTCATTTTATTTTGCTTACCATTTTGCTTCCAAATGCCTTCATGTATAGCCCAGTTTTTGTCTCCTTTCTCTTGTTTGCCCCAGTCACAAGATCCATGGTTCTGACCCGGCCTAGTCTCTGTCCTCCTCTCTCTTGTCCCTCATGAGGCCCCGAGGAGGTCTGAGGCCCACACCTTCCCTCTCCTCTAGCCCCCGCCTCCCCGTCTTGGTGAAAACGGGGTTCTTTCCACCTGTGCTCTGGGTCCCAGATCCTCAGGATTCCTTCTGCTCGCCCTTATACACATGCCCAA